CAAGTAGAACGCCCAGTCCCCTAACAAACATCGGTCGGTGCCACTAGTGGCAGATCAATGTTCATTTTTATATATGATCTCGAATTCTAAGACTTCTTGTAGCTAGCTCTAACATTGGCACACATAAAAAAAATTGCAAGAATTGGACAATATGATTGTGTGAAAAAAATGTATAGAAAAACTAAACTGTAAATAAACCATAATAATATGCAGTGTATTTTCAAATATGATAGCGCAGCAGGGTATTGTAACAATCAGCCAAGTTTCCATGTAAAATTTAGAGAAAGAAATTGAAAACGTTATAGTGTAAATCAATCCTTTATAATTGTGGGTTTATATCCAATGGTTATTTATATTACTTGACTAAACGTTCCTTATATGACATGTCATAACATTAATTTATGGGTTCTATTGTGAATATACTCTGCTCATTAAATACTTTGTGTACACATACTGATGTTTTAATGACTTTTATCGTCAATTAAGGTAAGTGGTAGGAGTTAACATCAGCTTTGTCAAATGGAACCCACGTACCAATTTCATAAGGATCAAAATTTGTTTTAGACAAACATTTGAAAAAGGATTGGGACTCTTCTCTTTCTATCCTAAAATACATCTGCTTTAAATTTACCATATACTTTATAGCCATGTTTTACTCTGCGAATCGCAAAGATCGAGGAGAAGCGAATGTTAACCTTCTGAAACGCTAAGTCTACGCTATTTTGTCTTACGAAAACAAAAAAAAAATAGGTTAAATGCGAAGAATTTATCCTATATAACCTGAAATAAGCAATTTAATGTTAATTTAATAGGACAATAAGATGACTTTTGGAGGGAATRTTGTTTATTTGTGGCACGAGTAGCGTCATTTGCGCCCGAGCGAAGAATGTGATTACGATGGTTATTGCTTTTAAATCCATAGTCAGTATGCAGGCTATATTTAGCATGCATGGTATGAGATAATCAGTAGAGTAAATTCCTGGTTTATTACTTCCAAATCAAGGAGCATAAAATCATTGCGACACAATTTTGTTCTGAACCTATATGGTGCTATTATTGTTTTGTTTGGGTCAATATGCACATATAACAACTTTCTC